GAAGTAAACAATATAATCACTCAAAGAAACCAAAGTGGAAACAATAATATTTAATAGATACTGTGATAATTGTATCAGAGTACCAACACGCTGTAACAAAGACAAAAGAGAATTACAGTGTAAAAGGTGTATAAAAAGAAAATTAGAGTGTAAATACTCAAAATGAACAAAAAAGAAAGGCGAAGCCTGCAACTATTGTAACTGGAAAAAGAAAAAGTGTGAACAAAGAAAAGGACAACTAAGATGTAATACTTGTATATATTATAAACAAAACTGTAGCTTTGATATATCAAAAGTGGAAGAAATTAACAAAAACTGTGACTATTGTATTCAATTAGTAAAAGATTGTATCAAAGAAAACACTTGACAAAAAAAGTGTAACAATTGTAAAGAAGATAATAAACCTTGCAATTATTCTATAAAAAGAACAACAGTCTATCTAGAAAAAGAAATAGAACAACAAACTAAAACGGTAACACAACTATTTGAAGAATACCAAAATGAGAAGTTCTTCCCAGAAGAATCAAATCTAAACAAATTATTCGACCAATTCACCACACTCTCAACAGAAGACAATAATCTGTGGGAACCAGAAATATCCATTGAACCAGTAAATTTAAACAAAAAACTTCTACGACCACCACCAGAACCTAAAAAAGTTTCTGAAGAAGTATTAAACGGAGAATTACAAAACTATCTTTTACTATTATCAAGAGAAAGTAAGATAGTAAAAGAATATCAATTGAGAACGTAGATAAAATTATTTATACTACAATGAACAATTACCAAAGATTTAAATACCCTAATAACAAACGAAGACTTTGAAGAATTTCAAGAAGAATTAACACAATTCTTATATGCACAAGACAACATAGATAAAGAAACACAATATATCACTGACATGTTAAACTCAAATACTTATCAAGACTGGTATAATATTAAAGAAAAATATCAAAATAGAATTAACTTTATACCAAGACACTTAAAAGAAAAAATAATCAGATATATTGACATTATCAGCTTCACACCAATAACTTACGAAATATACAATCCAAACGATCAATTAATAGACCACACACCATATTAATGAGTATAACAATAGACCGATACAACCCAAAATATTTAAAGAAAATATTACAAGAAGCAAAAGATAATATTACCCTATACCAACAAACAATCCTCAACAAAGAAGAATTAATAATAAAACTAAAAGAATTTGAATACCAACTACCATTAGGAATATCAGTAAGAATAGTATTAGAAGAGATACTTGAACGAGAATCATTACAAAAACTGAATAGACTCCTAAAAGAAATCAATAACCACTTAGAAGAGTTAAATGAGCAATAATCCAACAGTTATACAACAAATCGGAATACTACAAGAAACCGAAATACAACTACGACCAATAGCTTTAGCAACAATAGGAATCATAATAACTATAGGAATAATAGTTATAACCTATATTATAATTAAACAAAAGAAAACTATTAATAAACCAAGAACAACTTGAAGAATTACAAAATATAAATCACGAAATATCAGAATTTACCACTTTCATAGAAGGAATAAAGAACCAATTAACATTCCTAGAAAATAGAATACGAATATCAGAATTATTATTTGAAGAAGAATTTCATACAGAAGAAAGGATATGAGAAAATTTAGAATTCGAATATATAAAAACAACCAAATCAAGAAATAATAGAAACGTAGGTCAAAACCAAAAAGCAAATTTAGCAAGGTTACAATTTCAAATTTACCAACAAATAGAACCAGCTGAGGAGAGATACACTAAAGAACAATTAATAACATACTTAAAAAGAGTTAACCAACAGTTAACCACTGCATATAACCAACTGAGAACTGCAGAAATAACAAGAAGAATAATTATAAGGGGATCAAGAAACACCTTAACCAGAAGACAAGATTCATGAAACATAATCTTAACACCAAGATGAATAAACC